TCTCTCTTGACTTTTAGATTTGGAAATAGCTGGGTCACAACTCCAACTAATCCAGTTGAAAGATCAAGTAAAAGTCACAGGCATTGTGTTTTGGACTGAAGTAAAAACTCTCATGAAGACACTGCAGTTTTCATTTCAGGGATGGTGAGTGAGAGAGAATAAGTTATTGGCATCTTGCGAGTTGATATTGTTCTGATCCTATGGCCATTCATGATTCAGCACCAAAATGGTGCCGTGAGAGCTCAGTAATAACACTGTGCTGGGAGCAAGGCAGGGAGGAGAGATAAATTACCATCAGTACTGCAGTTCAAGGGTCGAGGAGGATCTCTGTTTTGGAACTCTAGTAAAAAGCATCTCAAGTATTAAGCAGGGAAACCTAATTATGACTTGTTCCCCTTCTGCCCTAACTGATGTTTTAAGGTGGTAAGAAGTGATGCAGAATTGCAAGGGGCAAGAGAGCATCTGTACTCTGAAAAACAGAGTACCTGTTTTTCAAGGCAAAGCTGCGTCAAACTGGGGAGAAGCAAATCAGCACAGCATAATCTGCGCATTTTATCACTCTGCTAACCTCAGATGTAAAACTTACCATTGGAAAGCTAATAAAATGTGGGAGCCACATAAGCAAACAGAAGGCCCGGGATTAGTGGTAAATATTTATTTTGGCTCTGGTGGAACCGCTCTCTTGATCAAAGCAGCTGGAGTTTGAACTGCTTTTAAGTTATTCCCTGCTCAACCTGGGAGTGCCGTGTTCTTGCACTGTTGGCATCTGCACAGCTAAGAAGGCAGATAGCAGGTGGGAGAAGGAAAGTGCATGTGAGTCTGTTTTACTGTAGTGCAAGACAACAGTAGCTTGTATTTCCCTTGTCAGTTGCAACCTGGTTTAGGAAAACAACTTAGATAGTACAGGCATTATCACAAGGCCAGCAAGGGTTTTTTTTTTTACCATCCTGCAATCTTATGCCTGCCAGGCTAACTGGCTCAGTGACCCTTAGCAACAAAATGTCCCACAGACAGAAATCCTTCTGAACTTCATCCTGAGCCCTTTAAGAACATCTTCTCTGCCTGATTTCTGTCTGTCTTCAGGATTTCTCCCTTTCCCCCATCTGGACATGCTTGAATCCTGTTTGGCAATTAGTCTTCTGGCTGATGATCATTATTCCTCTCTTAATCTTTCAGGTTCATTGGTACCTATGTAGGACCCATCCTTTAGTTTAAGGCCTGCATCCTGTGCATTTGAGATAGAGAAGGCTATGAGACAGCTAGAGGGAAAAGCTGATCATGTCTATAAATCTAGACGCTTCCAATGACAGGTTAGGACAGTGTCTTAAAAACATATAGTTCCTGCCACAAAGAACTTTGTGTGAAGAAGAAAGAAGAGACCAAGTCAAGCACTGAATGAAGAGAATAGACAGCAGGAAACTAAGCCTGTCTGTTTAACTCTGCAGAGAACTACTACTTAATTCAAAATTTTGACTCTTACTTTAAATTAGTCCACATTATTCAAACAGAGCTAGGCCAGAATAGTTATTTTGGGGCTCCCTGGGGATGTGAGTATTGAGGGAAACTAGAGCAATTTGGAAGGTTGGCAGAGCAATACAAGCAGGATTCTTCTCTCCCTGTCATAGGGGACTGTGTATGTATTCCATCCTAGTATTTGCCACAACCAGCTCTTTTAAGCCACGTGAGGAAGTGGCTGCATCCCTCATTTGAGGTACATGTTTGCAGGGAGGTTAAATGTTGTTACAAGTGTCACATTCATCTGGTAAAGAACTGTCATTCAGGTGAGAGTCTTCCAGGAGAGTCCCACCTTATTACTACATGGAAAACGAGGTCTCTACAGTGTACAGCCATGTAACAGTGAATTGGCAAGAGCTGTATTTGTGGTTGGATTTTTACACAGCTCTAGGGGTACACTGACATAGAGGAGTGATGGGTGCTCTGTTCATGTCTTGTTAATCTTGTCTGCCAGAGATTCTCTGTGAAGGGGAGGTGTGGCTCAAGTCTCTGCGACAAGGCTCTTTGTTAACAGAAATATTGCAGTAGCTGTTTCATCCCAGTTTTAACTGTTTATTGGTTGTATTTTTGTGTTTTGATGACTATGTGTGTCAGAGCACTGGCGTTGGAGTCATGCATTTCTGCAAGGCTTTTCTCAATCCTTGGAAGGTTAGTTCAGAAGAATGAATTAAAAAGACTGGAGTCTGTACTTTAGGTAGATCCTTCATCATACTCCCTTGCCTAAAACTGCGCGTGGAGGTACTTTTGTACTTTCCTTCCCACTGTCCTGAGAAAAGCCAGAGCAAAACTCCTGTGGACTTTTATTCAGTTGCACAGTTTAGATGGCATGTTCACTTTACTCTCTCCCTCATATTGCTGAACACTAGGAGAGGAATAAAACAGAGCCGTTCTGGGACTATTTTAGGGCTATACTGGGCTGTACAGAAGAAGGTAGTTGAAAAGTTTGATCTTCATGAAAAGACTAGCACTTTCCAAAACAACAAAAGTAACATCATAAAGATTTTTCCAGTTCAGGCCATTTTGCCTCATGTAGAGCTTTGGGCACCACATACGGCTGTGAAGTCTGCTCATGTCTCATCCTCCTGACTTCAAGGAGACCTGGCTGGAATTTCACAAATTCTTATTTCTGCAAAATCCTACTCCTTCTTCACTAGGGCTGCAAACCCCTGGAGAATGTTGCTGTCACGCTTGCACAGCTGAGCTATATTCAGAGCCTGGATGTTACTACTATGCCCTTATTTAGCTTTTTGAGACTGATTCAGTAAGAGAACTGCAGTACCTGCCAAATGTATTTGAATTCAGGTGCAATAGTACCTAAAAATCACAGACGTGGGACATTGGGAGATTTATTAGCTGTGCTGGGATTGTGGAAGCTGATACCTGTTTATGATGCTTGATCATGCACAAGAGTGTCCGATCGGGACAGGGAACTTAAGGAAAATCTGATGTATTTTTAGGCTGAAGAGGAAGAGTTCCTTTTTGATTTAGAGGGCAACTGAGGCCTTGAGTTGCTAATCCTTGAAAGACTTTTAGACAAGGAAGTACCATGGCTTTGTGGTATGACAAAGTGTCCTACTATGATGAGAGAGCCAGTTTAATCCTTGAAGTGTGGATTTAAGATTTAGTCTTGGTTCTTCAGACTAATTGCAACATAAAAAGAGCAAACAATGTGATAGGAAGACAAATGCTGTTCAGATGGTGCCAGGAATGAAGCTCTTTAATAAGTGTTTGCATGAGGAAGGCAGTGAGGGATGAGTGATGGAAGATCTCAAGTCTGTCACTCTTGAGATGAAATTCCCCCTTTCCGGTCAGTTGAGACCTCCTGTAGCAGCTGCTGCCCTAGATGTTCCAGGAAGGCCCTCGCACCACATGGAGGTGAAGGCTGACTTAGTCACTGGACTTTGCTGTTATGGGCCTACAGGACTGTCCAAGCATGGTCCAGGGTTTGGGAAACTTCTGAACTTGGCTAAGAGGAACTTGGCTACTATGGCATTGATTTTGAGGGGAAGTGTTTAAACTCTCCTCCCTTGGTTTTATTTTTCATCTGACAACTCCCTTAACAGATAATTGACAAAGCAACTCAGTGGCAGACTTTTGGGGTATTTTAGTCATGCTTTTGTTCTGTGGTTGAGGTGGAAAAGGGTTGAGCAAGTGGACTCTTGTGTGAGTGCTGACTGCCAAAAGCATTTTTGCTGTTTCTTCTTGAGGTGTGGTTTCTGATATTTTATAGGAATAATGGAATGAATGATAAATCTGAGAAGAATAGTACACATAATCAGGCTTGTATCTGATTGTGATATGCTTTTCTTAGTTATGAACACCTAAAACATAGCAACTATGGTGACTTGAGCAAACTGTTTTAAACTGCTATTTCCAACACAGCATTAGGTCAGCATAACTGAAACCTGATCTAGAGGCACTGACTGCAGCTGTGATAAGACCACTGGCCATTTTCCTCTCCCTCTCCTCTCCCTCTCCTCTCCCTCTCCTCTCCCTCTCCTCTCCCTCTCCTCTCCTCCATTTTGTAGTGCTTGCTGCTTCATGTTCAACAGTGGTAAGCCTGCCTAGCATAAGCCAGGTCTCAGAGACATGCTCATCATTGCTGGGATGGTGAGCGAGAATAGCACCACGCACATCGGAGACAAGCAACTACCCTCTGTCCTCTAGCTGTTGGCTGCTCTGCTGCTTCAGTCATCTGCACAGCAGGGATGCTCTTTTTGCTCAGGAATTTGTTTTTACCACAATTATGTGGGTGTGTAGGAAAGAGATGTCATGCCAAGGCTCCCATGTAGCCACAACCTTTGCTGCCCTTGCCGTATATGTTGAGGATAAGAGAAGGCACACAGTCTTGTGCTTGCTACCTTGCCTTATAAGCTGGCAGTCAGCTCCAGGACACTGCTACAGCTCTATTTCCCACCCTCTGCTCTCCAAATCAGTGCACAACTGCAAACCTGATCCTTCCCCTGGGGCGACCTCCACTCTACCAAATAGGTCACCAGTTTTGTGGTCTCCAGCCCAAGGTGCTAACTGGGTGCACTACCCTGTGATCTGTTACCTACTCATCAGTCATGCCATCTGCAAAGGTTCCTGGAGCAGAGAGAGGCTTCAGTGATATGCTGCAGTAGGGAGCTTGAGGTGTGAGTGTGTGCATTTCTTTTAGGGTGCTGTTCTTAAAGCAAAGAATGCCTTGTCCATTGCAAATATATATATTTGTGCACACACACACAAATATATGTATATGTGTGTATCAACATGAGTGATATTTTAAGTTAAAAAAAAAAGGGTAAGGGGAGGAAGGGAAACTTCACTTGTTTCCCTCTTTATTTTTTTCTACTTCGTTTTGACTTAAGTTTTGGAATGCTCATAGACATAAATGAGGAAAAATATGATTTTATTATGAATTTATTGAGAAGCAAGTAGAGTGCACAGCTTAGAAACAGAATGATTCATGTATTGCTAAAAACACTTTAAAAGAAAAATGAAAAAGAAATTAAAATAGACTTCTGAAGACTGGAGTGATGTGAGTGAAATGACTGGACAGGGAATACTGTGGAAAAAAAAAAGGCATATCCATATTGTTTGGTCTTTTTTCAGTGGCTGTAACAAAATCTATACTAACAGAGGTTTCAGGCAGTCCTTAAGGAACACTGGAAAATGTGGAGTGCTGTAACCATTCAATAGGTAATACATATGAACATTGTCTTTAGCATGAGTTAAAAAAACATTGCCTCCATGACTCGTTGCAAAAAGTTGTTTAGGCTCTCACCTGTTCTGCCTGGTACTGTTTTCATTCAGAAACCAGAATGCTGGTATCAACCGCTATTTGCAACTGTGTATGTTAGAAGCAAAAAGTGGGTTACAGTGTGCATTTACAGATAAGATTGCCACTAGAGGGTCTACTGACATCTTGAAAAGAGAGAATTACAAAGAGAAATAGTATTCAAACTACCATGTGGGAATTATTTCCTTCAAAATCATTGTAGCATGCAAGTAGCTCACTTGGATTGTGCAGTTTTGGTGATCTGTAAATTTAATTAAAGGCTTTGGGCACATTGTTTATTTGTTGCTAATAATAATCTAAATAATTTTTCACATTAAAATCAGCACAAGCGACAGTGAGGCCATCTTCATTAGTCAGCACTGCTGAAATAGTGTACTCTCCCTGTATGAGACAAGCACAAAATAAGAGATTAGACAGCAAGCACTAAATAACTTTTGCTGCTTCTATGATTGAGTCCCCTTCCTAGTAACAAAATAATACTTTTCCTATCAAATCCCTCAAAAATCTTGCAGTCCAAATGTGTTGCAAAACTGGTAAAGGAGTTGTCCATATTTTCTGCCAAAAGACTTGTCAGGAATATCAATACTGACAGCACAAGAAGTTCAAAATTAAAACAGTGCAAGGGGAACAAAATGTTTTGATGTATAAAAATTCTTTCTGAATCTGTGTGGTTTCTCATGCTCCTTATGAGCAACCACAGTATGGCATGTGCTATTTAGTATTAAGAAAGGGAAGAAGGATTCAGTTTGCTGGAACTTTTCTTGTTCCAGTCTTATGGCTCAGTCTGTACACTGTAATCGCCTCATACAAATTTTTATAGAGGATAAAATTTGGATGCATGTATGTAGATGATTTGATCTGTGATTAATTACTATGTAATAAAACTAGAGGAAGCTTAATTTCAAATGGTGTGGTCAAAAGAACTAGTAACTCCTTTTGTGGGAGAATTATATCATTGCAGTGCAGAAATCTCAACCTTAAAGAAGCTCTAGCTTTTAGAAAAATAATTGAAACTGCTCTCTTCATATGTTTGTAGAAGGAGATGTGCTGGTAGCTGTTACAGAGGCTTGTTTCTCCATGAAACAGCATTTTTGTTCTCAATAGAACAGGTCTCAGCAAACCCAGCTTCCCAGGACTTATATTCTCATTCTGTTCCCCCGTTCTGACCCTGTCTCCTCTTCTTTTCTGTGCCTGGACCAAGCTGGTCCTGAGCAGGCCCCAGATCTTCTCTGAGACTGTAATGTAGATTTATGTCAACTGTGGAAGGTCTCAGTAAATTTAAGAGTGTTTGACCCTCTTATGATGGTTACATCTGGACTGCAAGTGGCTAATTCTTTCTTCCCCACATTCTCAACCAGATGTCTTGATGATCTGTATCTTTCCATCCCCCTTTCAATCTAGGCTCTTTACCTTCTATTATTCACTGGTCAAACATCTTCAAACAGCTTCAAGCTGTGCACAGTTAAGAGAGGTAACGGTGCTCTTAGCATTTAGGACCTGTCTTGCTTTGCAATGTGATTTTATTGAAGCTTAGGAACGAGATTTAGTTCAGTGTGGAGGAAGGTTGCTCACAAAGAGCACCGTTGATGGATAAGCAGGAAACTCAATATGAGCAGTGCCTAGAGCACTTTTTCATCTATCTAAAAAGTTCATCTCTTACGGCTCTATGAGTCCACAGAAAATGTTCCTAGGCTTCATGGCTTGTGTTGCCAGTATCAACTTAGAGGAGATCTGTCTTTAAATCTAACATTGTATATCTAAAATGGAAAAAGCACAATTGCAGTAGTTTTCTAAATATCCCTTATAGCCAATGACAATGAATGAGCATCTCGAAATTCTTCAGCTCACTAGTGTCTCAGGAATTCTTTGAAGAATTTGTTTGTTGCTGGTTTAATAGAGAGCAGTCTACTAAAAGAACTGAATGAGCACATCTCTTAGCACTGGCTGAAGAGATCCAGTGTCCTGAAACAAACTGTCTCTCTCTGGATAATGATGACTTTCCTAGTGCTTTAATGAAATCTACTTCATTTCATGGTGAAAAAGATTTGTTGTCCATATTTTGCCAGGTCCTGTGTGCTACTTGGAAGAGCCTCCCATATGCTAACATGATTGCTTGTAGTTTTGTAACCATATGCCCTCTAGAAAGTCCTTCTATTGGGGAGCATAGCTGTGACAAACTTACCTGTGGGATTTCTTTGATTCCCAGTGTGACTGGTCCCTCATAGTAGATATGTTCTGAAAAATAAATACGACAGTGAGTGGTTAGACGCAGCTTCACACGTGAAAGAAAAAAGCAGCTGATAGTAGATGCTATTTTGTAATAGCACTTCAAAATGCTTTTGTGAGAGATATTATAGAACTATAAAGTGCTCATATATGGACTTGCAACAGCCCTCCTGAGAGAAATGTTAGGACATATGCTCTCTTATGTGGAAGGCAGGGCCAGGGCTCAAGAAGCAAATACAATCTGTATTTGAGTGGAGAAGGGGGTTATGGTTTTGTCCAACAGTGAGGATGTTCCTATGTCAGTGTGCATTCTACAAGTGAAGAAATTAAAGGGGTGGAATTTGCAACACACAAGTCCTTTAGTGTGATCTGGAAATCCCTGCCTGAGCCTGTTAAGCACTTGAAGCTGCAAGAGCTGAACTATACTTTTTTGCTAATTTTAAGCAAAAATGGTCTGAGATGAGTGCTTCTGTAGGTGTAAGCTTCTGACTGCTTGCTGAAGATGACCTTAAAGTAATAAGAACATGTCTATCTTACTGTTGAGAGAGTGTTCACCAAGAAGTTATGTGATGTGCTAAAGCCAACACAAGTTGTGTTGGTGATTGGAATAGAGCCCAGGAATCCCACCTTCAAATCTTCATCTCCCTCGTTGCTAGACATGCTTTCTCCTCAATGTAGGAGAAAAATTGATTTCAGCCCTATGGGGAATTCACAAGCTCTTCTGCAATTCCTCCTACTTTCCCATAACTTACTGGCCCAAACTCTGTAGCCTTGATTGAAAATAAAATTCTTCAATGTTTCAGTAAAGATTTTTTTTTTTTTTTAACAACTTGCCTTACACAAGTCTTATAAAATTCAGAGAACTGTCTCAGGATTCTCTTTTTTAGGTGTCATGAAATATTCTTTACTTTGGCAGTGACATAGGAGTAAGCATTTCATCGTATTTGTATGAGCATCTGCTGGTATCCTTATGCTTGTTACTTGGCAGAGAGCAGTTTCAGTCCCATCTCACCCTGAACTGCCTTAAATTGTTCCCCGTTAAAGGGTGGAAAAGGAGGTTTGTCACATGTTTATGTCCCATGGTCCATCCCATCACGATTTAGAAATCATCCAGAGAATGTCTTCCTCACACATACTTGAAATGTTAGTTAATACTTTTTAACAAACTCAGATTCATGACTATAATATACACTAGGAAGAGAGTAAGAGAAACGTGAGACATCATCAATGTCCTACAGCTTTGCATTAGGGAGGAGTTTGTTAAAGGTTATGCCCTGATTATCCTGGGAGGTGGAGTGGTTGCATGAGGTCTGAGTGCTCCCCTGAAAAAACTTTTACCAAAACTGAGACTAGAACCAGTTTGTTCTGGATTGTTACTCTCAAACTGATTAACAGTCACAGAAGCTCTGTTCCCTTTGCTGTCTGTTTTTCTGACCGTTTTGTGTGAACCACAGGAAGTCTATTTCTTTTCAAGGAGTGATTGCCTTTGCTGTTTGCTTCCATGCATAAAACTATAGTCCTGTAGTCTGACACATCTCTGCTGCAGAGCTGTGACTCAAGATTTTAAAAATACAGCACAACCCACTCCTCAGTTCACAACTTACTAGAGCCTAAATAGTAGTTAGAAACACTGCATACTGCACGACTTGTCATGAGTGACTCTTCTGGGACTTGCACTGTAGCTGTGCTGATGTCTGGTAAGACATACTGTGGGCTGCCCCGTGTATGGTTAGTACAATGCAATGACTCATGGTTTGTATGCAATCTGTTTCAGTAGAGGATCTAAAATGGACCTTGTTGGAGGGGGAGAAAAGCAGCATCTACCTCAGGTCTGAGCCCAGCTAGTCCTGGACAATAGCACAGGATAATGGAGAGGAAACTAGGCAACCAAACAACCTCTCTTCCACTGAAACTTGCAGTAGGACTCTAATGGGACAGTTCTCTTGGCTCAAGTGGCTCCTTAGGGTCCTACCAAGGCCATGAGAAAGCAATTCAGAATTTAAACATAAAGAAGCAGCATTGAAGCTCTGTAAAGTCTGTATTTCAAAATGAAATAGGTGTCATCAGTTCGTACATTTACATCTGAAATTATGGAGATACTAATCTCACCCTTAGTGAAGGTGATAGCTGCTGTTTTCTTCACTTTGCTGTGACAAAGTACTGATTTCATCAGTGTGATCTAGGGCTCTGCCTCAATCCTCTTTGTTAGAGTCCCTGTGATTGCTCCTGCATATAGTGGCTACACCCTTGCTCTTTCTGTAATGAAAGGACCCACACTCTGGGCTGCACTGTCTTTTGGGGAGCCTCAAACTGTGGACCTGGGTTCTGTGCATTTAGTTTGAGTTCTACAGTTATTACTTTGTTCATCAAAATTGACCTTGCCTAGTTCTTTCTAACTAGGAATCTTGCAATGGCTTATGATTTTCAGCCAGGCCTCTAGAAAACCCTTGTGACTCTCCTTGTTTCTAGCATGGGAAAAGGGAGTTCTCCTGAGAAAGTGCATGTCATACTGGGAAAAAAAAAAAAAAAAAAAAAAAAAAAGCTGTCTTGGTTTTCAGCTAGTTGAGGCCTTCCAGGAAATGACATAAATCAATAGATCTGCTGAATTTTATTGTCTATGCTCATTTCTGACATAGTAGCATTCTGTGAGCACATTGGCTGGATGAAGCTCTTTAAAGGCCATTTAATGTTCCTCTCAAGCAGAACTTTCGTCTATACACATACTTTAGAATTTAAGGACTGTAATGTGTCATAGTAGCCTTCATACAGTTGTATGTTTCTGTATTCTTCATTGAAAGACAATGAATACATCTGTTCAGTAAGTGTAACTCTCACAGACACCGAGCCTAGCTGATTGAATGAATTGTGCAATCATTTCAGAGCTTTCTCATCTAAATTTGGATGCTTTTATAGCTGCAAAAATATGTGATTTTATATATATGTATATATATATATATATACACACACACATACATAAACATATATACACATACACACTTACATGCAGGGCTGCATTTTTCCAAATAAGAAGTTGCCGTGTTTATATATATGCTTGCAAATTACAGCATCTGTCAGTGTTCTGTAATCAGTGGTGTGCTGAGCCTGCCTTTCATGTTCAGCTCTTTTTCTTGAAGATCTAATGGAAGGTGATTTCTGGAATATCCTATAAAATATTTCTAATGTATTGGTGATTTTATTGCATATTTTGGAGCAGATCTTCACTATTATTTCTTATGAAAAGTAGCTTGGTCCTTTTCCTGGCCACTGATTGGCCCCCTGGAAGCTTCTAGTCTGAAGAAGAGCTCTCAAATGTGTAAGAACTTCCTCAGAATTACTTCAAGTTACTAGTTATCATTTATCATGAAGATGCCTCTCATTCCTGACAAAACACCTATAATGAAATTCTCACTCCTCTTTCTCAGATCTTCCTTGCACTGAAAATCTTTAAACATTCTCACACTCTTGTGCTATATAAAGGCCCTGTACATCTGCACCCACCTCTTCCTTTTTCTGTGTTTTAAATCTTTTTAGAACTTAAATGCGCCATGTTGGAGTTCTTCTAGGACTCGATCTCGCAGCCCTGCAACTCTGATACAGAACTTCCTTGGATTTTAGGGATGCAGGAATGATCTGAATAACTGCCAGCTCACCCAACTGCCAATTGAGTGAGAAAAATCTATATAAATATGTAGCTGAATGAGAAACATGCACTCTGTCTACCGAGTAGGAAAAAGTGAGTTGAAGGGCCTAGGGGGAACAGCAATGGCTAATAGTCCAGGACCTCACTTTACAGTGTAGTTGATTCCTCACAAACATTTATAAAAGCTCTCAAAGTGATACCCAATGCAGGTCCCATTCTCTATTTTAACTTTAAATATCATTTTAGAAGCACACATATGGCAATACCTAACCAAATGGGGTAATGTAAAAAAATGCAAACCCAGTGTGTAGAGGTGGTTTTTGTTTAGCACAACAGTGCGCGTGAGCGACTGTGCAAGTCATCAGGTGGTGCCTTTATCAGTTGGGGCTGGGAGGAAACTTGTGGACTTGCAGAATATCCAAGTATCTTTCATCAAGAAGTTTTTATTAAGCCTGCAAGTTGTGGTTGGCATATTGCTTAATATTACCATACTAGGTGTGTTTCTCTGATTTTTGTTATTGCATTGGAAATCTGTTAAATCTTATGCAACTATATTCTTTAGAGGAAATGTGGAATAACCCACCCTTCCTACAAAAAAAAAAAAAAAAAAAAAAAAAAAAAAAAAAGGAAGAATTAAGTTTCTGTTATACCACAAAGAATTTGGCTGTTTTTGTTGTTGTTGTTCTTAAATGGAAAATGGCCCACTTCCTTGCAACCTAGGAGCCTATAGCTTCAGAACAGGGTTATATCTCAGAGAAAAAAGTCTTGGAATCCTGTTTAAAAGCCCCAAAGAGCTGTGACAGATGTGACCTTTGCTTAAAATAAATAGTAAATATGTTAGTGAAGCAGCCAGCTATATTAGTTTTCCTAATGTTTTTTCCAACTATGGCAAAGTTGTAGCATTGTAAAATAGCAGAGAAAAAATCCCACATTCAGCTCTTAAAAATTTCTTTTTGTTGTAACTTCTGCTTCACTTGTCAGCAAAAGCAGTCCAGTAAAGCCTGCAGTAGAACTACACTCTGTCATCAGGAGAGGGAGGGATATGCCATTTTTGACCTTCTTGTTGTGGCCAAAAAATTCTATGTGGAGCTATATTTAAACTCAGGTCAGATCTCTGTTGGAAATGTTGCCTGCAGGGAAAATGGAACTTTGCATAACAAGCTTCAAGACTATCTACTTTTCTTTGCTAGGTTACATACTTGACCATTCACAATGTTGTCCTTTTCCCATACATTCTAGGTCAGCTTTGTAGCCATGCTGTTGTACTCAAAACATGACTGCACTGAATTGCCTCAAACTTCAATTCAGTTTGTTGTCCTATAACATTAGGGCATTTGATTAAAATCAAATGCCAGCTAATTAAAAAATACCACAATTTCAGTTTGAACCCTGGTGGTTTGAAAAACTTCACTTTCCTACTGTGGCTTAATTACTAAATAAAAATAATTATTGAAGGAGGTGGCATTTTTAAAAAAGTGTGTGGCAGAGGTCCTTGCACTAACTTAGGGATGCTTCTAAATTAAGATGTGTGTTACTATTTAAATAACCAGCTATGGTTTTATATCATAATGTATTTCAATTAGTAGAAACTATCCCCTGCCAGTCTAAGATTAAGGACTTGGAAACCCCAGGAGAATTTGGCTTTGAGGCATAATGTGTGAATAGCAGTTTGTGCTTGGCTCAGGATTGAGAGAAGGAAATACATTCTCCTTAATGTATTCTCTAAAGGGTATTATAAAGTACTTCATCAGAATAAGAAAGTTTTTCAGTAGGTCTGTGAGTGTGTGGGGTTTTTTTTGTGTGTGTGTGTGTGTCTTATAACTCAATATGCAATTGAAGAATCTTCTAAATTTTATTTTTCAGTCTATCTGGCTCACAGATTTACATAATTGCTTGCTCATGCAGCATTTTTCTGTTATTCTTTGTGATATTTCTATGCTGTATTAAATGTCTTAGTGATTTTTTCCAGTGTCTGTTTTAGCAGCAGTGCTATACCCAGTTGTCAAGCCTGTAGTGTTTGTGCACGAATTAATGCAGGAGTATTATGATGGACATGCAAGTGAATGGAAAGTAAGTGGAGTTTCTGAAACTAACTGGCTCACTAACAACCCTGTGACAAACTTCCCTGAATCTACTGGCTTAAAACCAGCCTAAAGAGATGTTTGTAATATAAAGAAGAGGAACTTCACGGTAACTGATACCTGTTCATACTATCTGTTGATATTACAGCCTAGAGGCCATGGAAACACCATGGCTAGCTTTATAGCACCTGGCTTGGGTCAGATATTGAGATGCTCATGGCAGTGAGGTCCTTGGGGTGTCCAGGCCCATCTGTGACCAAGGATGCATATTTTGTCAGGGCAGACAGTGCTATTGTGAAAAAAATAGGCTGCTATGTTGGGTTGACAGGCATGAAGTGAACTCACACCTTCTGGCTGTAAGATAGACAAGGATTAAGGTGAAACAAAACAGAAACCACAGACAGTGTCAAACGGTATCTTGATCCAAACATCCTTATTCAAGCATTGTTGCTATTTAAGTAAGTTAAAAGCTGCCACAGGAAGCATTATTTGATTAATAATATAGAACTTCATTCAGAACTTGATTGCACAGACTTTCCTTTGACAAAAATAAAGGCAAGTTCTGCTATACTCTTTGGTCATGTGACAATCATCTCTCTCTGTCTCTCTCTCTCTCTCTCTCTATATATATATATATACACACACACTTATATATACATACTTATATATAGAGAGAGAGAGAGCGTGTGCTTACAAACTTTTTTGTGCTGTGAAGTGGGGTATCATTATCATAGTATTTTTTACGGACTTGAAATCCAACGTGTGTACGATACTCTGATTTTAAAAATGTGAGCAAAAATATTAAGGAAAAAGAAGGCTCTAAAATTAAAATGTCTCTGTCCTACTGTGTTTCTGTCATACATTATTAACATGCTGTTAAAATAAACAGAACATTATGTTGTATCAGTTCATTCAGCAACGCAGTGGGCACATCCTGCTTGTAATGCTCAGTAGCCATCAAACATTTATAGTGCCACCTAAATTACCTCCTTTCTTCTTTCCACAGAAAATAAGTTTAGGGTCATCTGGCTCACAAAGTGGCTCCGAGTAGCTTAAGACAGTTTTCCCATTTATGATCAGTTTAATCTTCGCATACAACCGCTTGATGCTGTGTCCTGAAAAAAAAAAAAAAAAAAAAGAGGATTGCTGGAGAGTTCTGAGGAAGCACAAAATTGTTTCATTTTTAAAAACACTGCAATGCTTAAGGTATTGTGTGTTTTCTCTTCACTCCTGAATATCAGAACTCCTGATACGTAGAAATCTATGCTTCAGGGACAGATCTATCAATTGAACTCAATCTTGAAGGTCTTTTCCAACCATAATGATTCTAATGATTCTATGATCTGTAAGTAACTCCAGCCAAATACAAGCATCGTAATAGCTGCGTCATTATTGTTAAATCAACTACACTAGTCATCATTCTCCGTTCCCAACTAGCATAGTAAAGCCTGTGTACATACACATACATCCTCCATCAGAGTGGTTGTCTATGGTGTGCCTGCTGGGAACAGGCCAGCACTTATGGCTAATGCCTGGGAGAAAGCTAGCTGGCCTGAGTCAAGACTATGCTCTATGCTGTGGACCAGCCCAAGCAGTGCCAGGAGCTTGCCTGCTTGCACTTATGCTCTGTTTGGCATGCTAGTATCAATAAAGCTGGTGAGACAACAGGATCTAGAGAAGAGCCCCTGTAATCTAAGGTGGTGGAAAAGGATCTACAAATGCCCATTTGCAGGCCTATCTGCAGCCCCCTGAAAACTAGTGTTCCCAAGCAGCACTTCCTTAGCTCTTTCTACCATGAGTCCTTTGTGTACAAGGAAGCACTTGGAACACAAGGAAGGACTATGAGAGGGTGACGTAGCAAACTCATTTTCAGCACAGAGAGCATGCAGTAACTTGAGCCAAATATCTCATATTTATATTCTAGTAGTATTTAGTAGTAGTAGTAGTATCTAGTAGTATTCCAGGAGTATTGGAGGCTCCAGGTGAGACTGGGGCCTATTTTGCTGCAAGAAGCACTGCTTGTCCATGCAAGCCTAGGGTCACAAGTCAAGCTATACCTTATGTTTACCTGTGCACCCTGCTCCTTAACTAAAGGGCAGTTTTGCTTCTGACCTTCTTAAGTCAAGCACCACAGGATATATTTTTGGCTAGCCCACTCAGTGAGCTGATGGTGTGGCAGGGTATTGCCTCAGGCTAGCAGTACTGCTGCTCTGACTCTCCAGCGTGTCCCAACAGTGATCCATTTGTGTCCAGAAAGGGTGGAGAGGTCCTCCCACCTCATTTCCCCAGTGTCCCTGCAGTTCAGTTTGGTATCTTTCCTGGAAGAGTCAGCCACTGGGAATTTGGAGAGTGCTGCCAAGCAAACACAGAATTCTGGGTGCTACAGCTGCCTCATTTGGACTATTTCAAGATGGCTTAGATGTGAAGACAAGCTATATAGATAGCATATGTCACCTTGGCAAGTTTATATCTATATATGCAGACAAAGGGTAGGAGCTGAGCAAGGACCCAGAGAGACGTGGCCCAAGTTCACACAGAAGATCTAAAGCAGATGTGAGAACATAATTGAAATTTATCTGGTCCCACATGATGCCCCTGGTTTCGAAATTTCTCATAAATTCATCATTAGTTAGAGGTTCAGACACTATTATTTGCTTCTGAATACCGGCACTGACATAGTAGATTACCTGTTTATGACATGAGGAAATAGCAATTTACTTACTCAGGATTATAGCACCTCTGATGTTAAAGGTGTGGGAGGGGATATCAGGACATTGGTCAATGCTGAAAGCAAAATCTTGCTGAGGATCTGTCAAGAGAGAGAAGACAGTGAGTAACCAGTCATATTTTTAATAAGATACTGACTGTATAGTGAAGAACAATAAAACTATGTGATTATCATAAAAAAACCAAATTACCTTTTTTTTTTTTTTTTGGCAACTCTCTTGAGTTCATGCCCTGGATTTAATCATTACTTCTGTCTTTCTTACTGTCTTAGTCACTTAATATGAATTTCATTCAGCAGATAGCCTAAGTGTCGCTAAAAGCAACTGTGTGGAAAAAAAAATAAGGGAGATGAGGAAAACCAAATTCATTAAAAGCTGGGGAGTAAGTGCTTGTCCAACACTGAAACCTTAGCACCGGTACTCTTTTCAGAGTCTGTACATTTCTATTCCTTGCTTATCTGTGACATGCATTTTATGGTGATGATGTTTTTTAGTTTGCTTGTATTACATAGTGGCTTTGAGCCTCCCTGGGAAAACAAATCCTGAAGTGGGATGAGAAGTCTAAAATTAAAATAAAATAGTGAGATCCTGCAATATTTCATTCTGGCTCTGCCATCATGTAATATTTCTAACCCAGGAACACATCTCTCAGAGAAGGAGATGGATAGCAGAATGGGAAGCCAAGGGATCCCAGTAGCTGATGATTGACATGAACGTGGTTCTTACCAGTTTCCACAGTTTCCCTTTCTCAGCACAAAGCTGCCAAAATCCTGCAGAAATACAACTGCTTTCTCTGTACTTCTGCCTTCTTCCTTGCTGGCCCTCAGCATCATCTTCCCTTAAACTCTTTAGGACTTCTAAAGATTTGACAGTGTTTCACACTCTGATGACAGCTGTCAACATCAACCAACAGCTCAGTTGCTGCTGCAATGAAAGACATGTTCAGAAGTTTCCCAGACCATGGCTGGAGATGAAAAATTTGGCCAGTTCAGATACATCTCATTTAACCGATGGATGTATGGGTTAGATGTATGGCAAAGACTCAAGGTCTGATTTAGGCAAATATTTGGTCCTTGCAGTGCTTTCTCATTTAGCCCATGAATCCTGCTTCCTTTTCTGGAGAAAACAGAGACCACAGGGTATACCCACATGTGACTATGGCACATGCTAAAGCAGCTGTAGGCTCCTCAGTTTAGATAAAGCTGGTCGTGACAAAATATAGACTTGGGAATTGAATTCTGTTTCTAAACTTATATTTTGAGATAAACTTCTCACTGAATTGAAAATAATAAATTGGAAGAATTTTGCTTTGATACTGCGGTGAAACTTGTATCAAGAATATTGTTATGAGGCTGAGCTGATGTGTCAGGACTGCCTTAGCTCCTAGATTGATCCTATTTCTACAGCAGTCTTCCACACTTGTAGAAGCCTGCAGGGAACAAGCATGGGTGGCTAAAGCCTACTTTGCTTAGAGGAGAGCGTGAAATGAATGAAATAAGGATAAAATAAGGATGGGCTGAAGGCTCCAACTAAGCCCAGCTCTCCAGCACTGGAATTATCTGTGTTGTGCAAAAGGAACTCCCAAGTTTTACGCTCTGCTAAATTTAACTAACTAAAGGAGAGAGATGAAAGTGGCTGCTGTTTCATACAGTTCTGTTCCCTTGTGCTGGATTTTCTCCTCCACACCAAAAGACCAAGCTCTGCAGTTGCATGGTCAGTCACGGGTGAAAAGGTGACACCTGGAGTTGTTTATCAGCTACTCAAGCATGACAGGGGTCAGAGAGTTGGCTTGTCTCCCTTTCCTTATTCCTGCCACTTCCTGGTTTGTTTCTGCAACTTCAAAAGTTGTTGCAACTGCCTAGAAAAGCAATTTCCTGCTCCATCCGGAAATAGTGTCAAACTTCTCTTTTCTCTGGGGCAGTTGTGGCTGCTCACTCTCTGGCCTCTAGCAACCCACAGGGTTTGGTTTCCTCTTTTCTCTGGACTTCTGCAAGAGCCCTTCTCATTTCTGTTCTTAGCATGTGGTATGGTGATAAGGTTCAGGAAACAGCTGCTCAGATTATGAGCATATTGGATATTGATGCCCACAAACACTGCTGGTTGACAAAATACTAAAATTGTCAATTCTGTAATTTCCAGAGGACAGCTATGGTGACAAAATGGAACTGCAATGTATACCATGCTCTCTTGCTTTTCAAATAGATTAAATTGTGCTTTAGTCAGCAAACTGAATTGTGGTATTTAGGCTAGAAGTTTAAAAAATTAGCTGAATTTTTCCTGTCAACAAATCCATTTGGATGGAAGGGTTTGTTCATGAAACCAAGTTTAAATAGAAATCATGAACTTTGTATGATGAACCTGGACTTCATAGTAGTTTATTTTGGATATCTGATGAGCCTATCCTTTACTATCGATTATGCTCTTTGGCCAGATTACACCTCTCATGTTGTGCTGTAGTCATGAGTCTGTCCTACTGCACTGCTGAGATGCAGCATACCTCTATGCTCTGGTACATCAAGAAAACTGTTTTCTGATCCCCAGAGATGAAGAGAGTGTGGAAACACTTGTATGAAACACTCCAGCAGAATTTCTGAATTAAGAATACTTGGATTTTGTGTTGTTGCACTGTTACTGAGAAATGTATACTTTTCCATCAGCAAAAGAAACTCCAATTAATTTTCTCACCTTCTCCCTATGGAAATTCAGGCTATGACTTTGCAATCCAACAAGTAAGAGACATTGTGCACATGGGGGCTTCCTGCTGCTACCAGCCAAAAGGGTAGCTTTATTGCCAGAGCTGTGGTGCCAGAGAGTCTAGACTCTGAAACAAGTAGGCAGAATGTGTGCAGCTAAAAGTAATTTAAATAAGGAAGTATTTTTAACCATTTGATAACTGAAAATATCTGTAAATTCAGCTTTATGATCGGAGTTAGTTTGCTGTGCTTCTCTTCCTTTAAGCATTGAGATGTCCAATATCTGTGGCAAAGGCAACTCGAGGTGGTTGCCCCTTTTGTATTTCATTTCAGATACACAACTGTGAGTCACTGTGTCTCTTATGGAAGTTTAATACTTATTCTTCCTTGTTTGCCTCAATTGAAGAGACTTAAAAAAATACATGTTAAGTCTTTCACATGTGCAGAGCAATAACATTTACCATTAAATCTCTAAAATACGTGGGGCTGCCCTTCAGCCTTCCACTTCCCTGCAACATTTCATAGTGCACAGTACTGTATGTTCCCAGACTTCCCTCCACCCACTCCCTTCAATCTGCTACCTCTTCCATAATTAAAGCTAGAAACTCTTCAACTGGTTGCAGAGTTTTGCTTTTGCAGTTAAGCTCTGATATATTACCAAGACTTAAAACAATGGGGGAAATTTTGCAAACATGTTGATGTTTAGCAGTGAAAATATGCTTATTGAGGTCAAAAGGGCATTTTTTATGTATTTTTCTATGAGAATGGCTTCAGCTGCAACATTTGTAACTAGTGGGAGTAAGATTTGAAACTAGCCTAGGAATAAGGTTTTGATTCAAGGTTCTTTCCAGACAGTTCTAAATTTTTGGGGGGCTACTGCTTTCAGAAAGAGGCAAGTCTTCATCTGTTATAACTAATCATTTTACTGCTGGATCTCTTAGACCCATTATTAGAAATCAATGCCCCAGCTAATGCTGAACATGCAGCTGTATCCAGCACTGAATGCACAGCTTTCCCTAAAGATGAGCATCTGTAATAAAACCTTACTGTGTGAGAGGTAAATTTGGGATGTCGATGGCATCCTGCCACTCATTACCAGCCAATTGGGATAGTGCCAGTCGACCCCACACATCCCACCTCGCTTTTCACCCTTTCACCTGAATATTGTGGGGGTGATTTCTTGCAATATTGGCTTACTATGTGTTTTTCCTTGCATGCTGCTTAGAGTGGCACCATTGTGCAAGATTTTTGCCTTAATTTTCCAAAGCGCTAGCAGAGATGAATTTTGCTAGATTATTCTAGAAGACTGGATAGACAAGAGTTATACTGGTTAGATGCTCAATGAAGTTCCTGAATATTTATTGCAAGAATTCCTTTTCCTGCTCTTTTTCTTCATATAAAGTCCTAATTGAATAAGCTCAGATAGATCTGTAGCAGTCTATATACAATCCTCTGGGCTACAAGCCTGGTACCTTTTACCGGGGAGAACAGGAGGGAATGCACTTTCATGCCTCAGTTCCTGCAGTTGGTGAGCTGGGCTGGCAGCTCCAGCTGAACATAAGACCAAGGTTCGTGAACCAGGGCATCTGATCTCCAGGACATGTCCCATCTGCCTGATGTGTTGTAGGAGTGGTGATCTCCAGCAGGGAAATGGAGGGGGGCAGCTGGGAATGATCATGTGCTAACTTGCTATGCCTAAATCCCTCAGATCTCGCCTGACAGACTACTAACAGGGCATTACAGAAATTGTAGGGCCAGATGGGAAGCACCTGTTTTATGAATTTTGCTGGGCTGTTCTAGAAGAGCACCTGTCTTTTATTCCTCTCTTTTCTTCTCCCTCTTTTGTTCACTCTTCTCTACTGGGTTCGCTCTCATCTGAATCTCTTCTAAAAATCCCATTGTTTCCATATGCGTATGAAAACCAGAGGTTAGAAGCACTGATATGGACACAAAGCAAAGAACAGAAGCAGCAAGCAAGCTTTGCTTGTAAGAGTTCACATCTGCAAACATTGCAGTGGTGAGAAGATTCTCGAATTTGGTCACCTTTGGGTCTTTCAAAATTGCACTTTTAGGAGTAGGTAAGCAGTAGAACTCAATAGAATGACACAACTTCACTTTGTTAGGGTCATTCAAGGATACAGTAGTGCTGGAGGAGCTGGAAATTAGCACGAGGAAGAATCATATTTAGTAATTATTCAACACTCCTCACCTTCAAAACTCTTAATAAAATTAACTCATTAGTCCTTACATCATTCAAGGTGATGAAAGGAGAGGAAAAGAATGAGGAACTGTTTGGGATCCCAGACTTGATGTATTCACTTAACACTTTCCTTTTAATGTTTATTTAAATAAATTAACCTGAATGCTCAAGGTTATATTTGACATCAGGG